GCTAAACCAGGTGCTGGGGCGCACGCCTGTAATCTCAGTGGCTCAGGAGGCTGAGGCAGGAGAATTTCGAGTTCGAAGCCAGCTTCAGAAACTTAGTGAGACCCTGCCTCAAAATAAAATATTTTTTAAAAGCTTGGGGGGCCGGGGTAGTGGCTCAGTGGTAGAGCACTCACCTAGCAGGTGCGAGGGCCTGGATTTGATCCTCAGCACCACATAAAAATAAAATTAAGATATTGTGTCCACCTATAACTAAAAAGTAACTATTTTCTTAAAAATTTAAAAAGAGAAAAGAGCTTGGGATGTGGTTCAGTTGCTAAGTGCCCCTGGGTTCAATCCCCGGTATCAAAAGAAAAAAAAAAAGGCCATGCTGGTCAACTATCGAGTTGGGCACTGACGGTGAGGTGGTATATTGTAGGGCCAACGGATCGGGGTCACGCGCCTCCTGTCACATTTCCTTCTCTATAAGGTGGACCTTGTTTTGTTTCCCGGCACTGGGGAGTGGACCCAGGGAATTCTACACTGAGCCGCAGCCCCAGTCCTTTTTATTTTTTATTTTGAGACACGGTCTCTCTGAGTTGCTGAGGACCTTGCTCAGTTGCCCAGACTGGCCTCAAACTTGCAATCCTCCTGCCTCAGCCTCCAGAGCTACTGGTATTACAGGCGCGGGCCGCTGCGCCCAGCCAAAGTGGATCCTCTCGCTGACGGTTGAGACCATAAGGGGACTCATTTCCATCGCGCCCTTGGATGTCGGTGCTGGCCAACGCACTGAGTCAGGTAAGGCAGATCCACGCCCAGAATACGCACTAATCCCAGGAGGACAGATGGCCACTCCTTCCAGATTGGAAAGACACATTGTAACCACCGTGCTCAGAGACCCTGCCTGGTGTGGGGGCTGACTCCGGGGTGGTGGCTCCTGGGGATGAGCGCGGGGCTCTGCGGCTGCCAAGTCCCGGCCCAGTCTCCATACCCATGGCACAGCTACCTCATCCAGGTCCCCTCGTGCCAGCCCGCACGTGGAGGAGGACAGAGGCTGCCTGTCATGCCCTGGAGTCCTGTGTCCCCTAGCTGTTCAAGGCCTCTTCTGCAGTGGGGGCTCTGTAACGGCCCTGACCTAAGACACAGAGCTCTGTGTACCGGGTGCTCCCTGCCCTGAGTCCATCCACAGACCTCCGTTCTGACTTCTTTATTCCCACCCTCCCATCTCGCTCTTTCTGGTCTCAGCCTCCGGAGCTGCTAGGATTACAGGTGTGCGCCACCATACCTGGTTAATTTGTTTGTTTATAACATTTTTAGTTGTAGATGGACACGAGACCTTTACTTTATCTGCTGACTTTTATGTGGTGCCCAGGATTGGACCTAGTGCCTCGAACGTGCAAGACAAGCACTCCACCACTGAGCTATAACCCCAGCCCTGGCTTATTTATTTTTAACGTTTTTTAATTTATTGTAGCACTGGGGTTGAATCCAGGAGGAGCACTGAACCACTGAGCTACATCCCAGCCCCTTTTATTTTGAGACAAGGCTCTTGCCAGTTGCAGAGGGTCTCGCTAAGTTGCTGAGGCCCGTCTCAAACCTGTGACCCTCTTGCTGCTGGGATTACGGGGTGCCCCCGTACTGAGCTCACACCACTGTGCCGGATGGATGGAGGGGTCCATAAACCAGGCCTGGAGGTCTGCTCCTCTGAAGTCCGGTCTTAAAGAAAACTGCACAAGGTACAGGGTGAGGCAAGATAAGAGACGAGGGATAGCAGAGGTAGGTGACATGGGACCTGGGCCACCTGCGCATTGGACCTCTGAACCTGCTGACACCTAGCCACAAACACACCATGGGGGTTGCTGCTGTGCCGAGGTGTCCTCATGATGGGGTGACACTGAGAGTTCTCAGATAGTGACAGGCATGTGAACAGGGACGGGGTGTGTGACTGAACAGCTCATGGCTGTGCTGGGAGACCCTGGGAGACGGACTTCCTTCCGAGTCTTCCCACCCGGGCCGTGAAGGCTGAGGTGTTGATTGTCCAGTGTCCCGTCTGTCACTGCTGGATCGCCACCAACAGAACCAACCCTCTCGTTTCCTGATGGCTGTGTACTCAGGTCAAGCAAAACCCTGCAGACAGAAGAACAGCCTCAGGAGCAAGCGGCCCTGGGCTTGGAGGGTGACCGCTAAGGGGGAGCGGGTGGGAGACTCACTGGACCCACTATACCCCGTGAATTGGCCGGATCGGGAGTTGAGCCGGGTGTGGTGGCACACACCTGTCATTACAGTGGCTCGGGAGGCCGAGGCAGGAGGATGGAGAGTTCAAAGGCAGCCTCAGCCACTTAGAGAGGCTCTAAGCAACTTGGCTGAGACCCTGACTCAAAATAGAAAATACAGAGGCCTGGGGAGGTGGCTCAGTGGTACCCCACCCCTGGGTTAATCTCCGATACCAAATAAGTAAAATCAAGTCCAGTCGGGGTTCTCTCCATCTTAAGCATGAAGACACTGAGGCTAAGACATTAGGGTCCCAGCCACGTGGAGAAGCGAGGGGCCTCCCCTGGGCAGGCGGGGAGAGGGGCTGTAGGGAACCTCCTGTGGGGACAGACTTTGCTGCAGAGTAGATGGGCACAGACTTGGGGTGAGCCCTGGTTTGGTTTCATGGCTGCTGTCCCTGGAGCAGGCTGGCAGTGACCTCTGGACGCTCTCACTTGTACCCCCTGGTGAGAGTCGGGGACAGGCGGGGACCCGGGCAGATGCAGCAGGGTCTCCCACATCTCTGCCACCGGCCCCCGCGGCTGCAGGGCCCTCAGAGCTGCCCCAGGCGCCCTCCCCCCCCCCGCCCGCCTGCGCTGGGGTCTTTCAGACGCTGTCAAAGCCCCCATTCTCTGAACACAGCTGGGCCAGCGCCGAGCCGCGCATCCCATGTCCCCAGGCCTGGACCCAGGTGTCCGCGACGGGCAAGACCTCAGAGGAACTCAGCTGCCTGGCTCCCACCCCCTGGTGTGGGAGCGCGTAGGAAACTCTGGAAGGATGGGCTCTCCCAGCGCCCACTGTGGATGGGAGCCCGGCAAGGGCGGCCAGGGCTGACGGGTGGAGGAGGATGGGGGAGGCTCTCCCCACTTGGGTCCTGGCCTGGGCCTGCATGGGGGCGGGGTGGACGCAGGAGCTGGATTGTTCTTAACCAGAGGCTGGAAACCTCCCCAGCCCGGGAGGCTGGGAGGCGGCCAGCTGGGCTGCACGTGGAGGAGGCAGGGAGAGCTGCCCACTCTCTCTCCTGCCCACCCTCTCCCCCTCGGGCTCTCTCTCCGTGTTGGCAGGACCTCTGGCCCCGGAGGCAGCAGAGTTGGGCTTCTGCGCTGGTCTCAGTTAATTCCCTACTGTGTGCCCCTGAACCTTACTGCAACTTTGGGGGTCTCAATGTCCTCCTTCCGAAGATAACTGAGATTTCTACCTGGAGTCTGACTTTTATCCTTCCTGCTTCTGTGGGTCCTGCTTGATTTCTGCGAATACCTGTGGATTTGGAGGGGCTTTTTCTCAGAAAGCAAATAGAAATGGAGGACAGTCGTATGGCTGTGCATCCAGATGAAGGGCTCTGTAATGGCAAGGAAAGTCCCTACTCAGCAGTTACCACCTCAGAGTGCAGGTTAGACAACATGAAGGCTTTCCCAGCTAGAGATGTTGAAAGGATCTTAAAGAGATGCTCATTGCCTTGTTGAGAAAACTTCAGGAAGACTCCATTCCCCAATGACGAGCCCCATCTCCATTCACAGGGGAGAGCTGTGAGCTTCTGGCGCAGATTAGGGCTGCACACACCGAACACTGTCTGGCAAAGGAAAAGACCCAGATCTTCAATTCTCTATGGGTAAGCTCTGGACCCTTCTTGTTTGGGGTACTGGGAATTGAACCCAGGGCCTTGTGCATGCGAGGCGGGCACTTACCAACTGAGCTATATCCCCAGCCTGCCAGGTGCCCTTCAATAGATGAATGGATAAAGAAAATGTTGTATATATACACAATGGAATATTACTCAGCCATAAAGAAGAATGGCATTGTGGCATTTGCTGGTAAGTGGATGGAACTGGAGACTATCATGCTAAGTGAAATAAGCCAATCCCAAAAAACCAAAGGCCTAATATACTCTGATATGTGGATGCTAACCCACAACAGGAGGGGGGAAAATAGAAATTCACTGGATTAGACAAAGGAGAATGAAGGAAAGGGGGGGATGGGGACAGGAAAGACAGTGGGATGATTGGGACATCACTTTCCCATGTTCACATAGGAACACACGGCCAGTGTGACTCACATCACGTTCAACCACAGAATGGGCAGTTACACTTCATGCATGTTCAATAAGCCACAGTACATTCTACCCTCACGTGTAACTAAAAAGAACAAATAAACAATTTTGAAAAATAATGTGGGGCTGGGGCTGGGGCTCAGTGGTAGTGCACTTGCCTAGTACCTGTGAGGCACTGGGTTCGATCCTCAGCACCACATAAAAATACATAAATAACATAAAAGTTAAAAAAAATAATGCTTTATGCCAGTGCTGGTGGCCCACACCTGTAATCCCAGCAGCTGGGGAGGCTGAGGCAGGAGGATTTCGAGTTCAAAGCCAGCCTCAGCAAAAAGCAAGGTGCTAAGCAACTCAGTGAGACCCTGTCTCTAAATAAAATACAAAATAGGGCTGGGGGTGTGGCTTGGTGGTTGAGTGCCCCTGAGTTCAATCCCCGGTACCACTACTACTACTACTAATAATAATAATACTTTTTAAAAAAGTAAAAAAAAGTACCAATATAAATATGAAAAAAGAAAAAAAAATCCAGATCTTCTCAGAGCAGGAGCTGTGGACTGGGTCGCCCCTCCCCCAGTGCAGGTGAATGGTGTCCATCAGAGCAGGTGTACAGGTGACAAAATGGTGTCAGAGGAGTGACACCCTTTGAGATTTCCCACTGCAAATGGCAGGTGGAGACTCTGGCTGCAGTGCTGAGGCTCCCCCTCCTCCCTGTCCCTCCCCGTTGTCCCTCCCTGTGCCTGCTCCCTCACCAGGAGCCGGCCTCCTGAACACACTGCCCCAGGTGCTGGCCCTGGGTCAAGGTGGGACTCCCCGAGGGCAGCAGCAGTGCACCTGGACTTCTGGTCATGAGGGGGGTGGCCGGGAAGGTCACTTTCCTGGGCCTTCTCTGGTCCCAGGCAGGTCCGTCCCCCCCCCCCAGGAACTGCAGCCACTGGGATTGAATGTCAGCCACTTGGTGGCCTGGCTCAGGCTGGCTGGCCTGAAGCCCTGTCTGTGGAGCCCTGGTGGGGCGAGCCCCAGCCTGTGGGGGCAGGGGACACAGGCCACCCTGTCAATACCCCCCTGAGGGCGGGGGCTCTCTTCCAGCCCTGAGTCGGGAGGTCGAGGTGAGCAAACAGGCCCTGGAGCCACCAGGCACTGCTCAGCCTCGTCCCCAGAGGTACCACCTCTCCAACTCTTCAGCTTCTCCAGGACAGTGGGGCCGGGCGCTGTAATCCTGGATCCTAAACAGTGCCTGGCCCACGTGGGTTCCTAGCTGGCATTTAGTTAATATTGAGTTAATATGTGTTTAATGAAATGAACAAAGCCAGGCCGCCTCCTCCCCGGCCTCCAGAGGCACCTTGCCCTGTGCCCTTCAGTCTTGCATCTGTGCGAGCCACCTGCCGAGGGATCTGATCACTGCCACCCAGACCTTTCTGTCCCTACAGTAGAGGGACCTCTGGGGAGTGGCTGGACTCTTCTTCCACCTCAAGCCTCTGGGAACTCAGCCCCTGGCCCCGGGGTGCAAGCCCAGGCCGTGGGGTTGGGGGTGGGCTTCTGGTAGGGAGCTGTCCAGAACCCCCAGGAGGGACTTGGGGTGCAGTCCCCGGGGAGCCAGGGCCCGTGGGAGCCTGTGCCTGCGGTGGACACCCCACTGGGCTTGCAATATTTTGAGGATGTGGCTGCATTTTACGGGGATCACAAAGCTGCCCTCCTGTCCAGGAGAGGATCCAGGCACCAGCAACCGTGCCAGGGGTGTCCCTGGGTCCCAGGAGGGGGAGGGAGAGAGGAGCCGAGCAGAGGGCCTGGGAAAGCGGAGGGGAGCGTCATTGGTATTCTGGCCGCTTCGGAGCCCTGACAACTGCTGGGGCCTAGGCCCACCCCTTGGCAGCCGCCGCACATGGAGCAGCCGCGGCCCTGGCCAGCAGGCCCTGGGCGCCCGGCAACGCGGCGACTCTGCACATTGGTTTGCATGACCAGCGGCACCGGCTCAGAGTGCCCCGGCACCCCCTCGGCTAGAGGTTTCTTGACTCGCTTTGCTTCACCCGTGATTCTGCTGTCTAACCTCCATCCCCCCAGCTGCAAAGTCAGCTCCTCCTCTGGGCAGGCAGTGGGAGCACCGCGGGAGTCAGAACCCAATCAGAACATCCCCCAGGGAGGCGGCCGCGGTCATCTGCACCTCATCCTTGTCTCCAAAAGACAGCTTCCCATTTTGGGGGTGGGAGGCGGGGTATCGCTCCTTCCAGGATCCTTCATCCTTTCCCCTAATAAGTTTGAGTCCCTCCTCTTCCTTCTTTGACCAATGGGAAGTCCCTCCAGTTGTCTAACTTCCATCCCTCCAGCTACAACATCATCTTCTGGCGCTCCCTCCCCGCCCCTTCTGCCCTCCCTTCCTACTCCAAGTCCTCATCGTATCCCCGGAACGATGTCCTACTTCGCTTGTCCTTGCCCTCTCCGCTGCCGCCGGGAACCGACGCAGAGAAGGCAGCGGGTCCCGTGACCACCCCGAGCCCCTCTCGGTCCGGGACAGGGGGCGGGGGGTGGCCCCAGGGAAGGGCGGGGCGGGTGGGGGGTG